CCTGTAAGGAATTATGTAAGTAAGTAAGTAAGTATATAAGTTAGTAAGTAAGGAAGTAAGTTAGTTAGTAAGTAAGTAAGTAAGTAAGTAAGTAAGTAAGTAAGTTAGTAAGTAAACAAGTAAGTTAGTAAGTAAGTAAGTAAGTAAGTAAGTAAGTAAGTAAGAAAGTAAGTAAAAAGGTTAGTAAGTAATTAAGTTAGTAAGTAAGTAAGTAAGTAAGTATATAAGTAAATAAGTAAGTAAGTAAGTAAGTAAGTAGTAAGTAAGTAAGTAAGTAAGTAAGTAAGTTCATAAGTAAGTAAGTAAGTTCGTAAGTAAGTAAGTAAGTTTGTAAGTAAGTAAGTAAGTAAGTAAGTAAGTTCATAAGTAAGTAAGTAAGTAAGTAAGTAATCTTTATTTTCATCAGTACAGGACATACAGGATAACATGAGCTCTTGAAATAGCTCTTAAACTGATATCAAACAAATGTATGATAACAGAATATATGGTATTATGACATGATTTAGACATTTTTTTGTTACATATCACATTTGAGACAGATAAAATGATTAAAACTGATGAAATCATAAAAAAACATATATATGAACTGATAAACGCGAAGAAAAATCTTGAAAGATTGGAGCTGCAAGCTGTAACATCGTCATTGTCGAGTAGGCCATTGTGGACGACAACGCTTCTCTTAGTACAGGAGCTAAGAGCCATAAATCAGATGAATTGTGAACTTTTTGACAAAAGCATGGAAATTAGCTTACGTAACAGCTTATGTAGAGATGAAAAGTAAAGGGTGAAAGATGAAAAGTGAAGAGTGAAATATAAAAGGTGAAGCGTGAAAGATGAAAGATGAAGAGTGAAAGATGAAAGATGAAGAGTGAAAGATGAAAAGTGAAGGATAACAGATAAAAGATGAAGAGTGAAAGATGAAAAGTGAAGGATAATAGATAAAAGGTAAAGATTGAAAGATGAAAGGTGAAAGATAAAACGTGAAGGGTGAATGATGAAAAATAAAAGAACACATGGAGACAGAAACATGTACGGTGAAAGGTCACAGGGTAAAGGTCACGCACCGTTCGCCTGTCTGCATATCGGTGCACTGCACGTCGCGGAGGAACCAGGACGCGAGGCGCCCCCTGCCGGTGTTGTCGTGCCACATGCGCAGGTAGGTGAGTGGACCAAGCTCTGACTGCATGCTCACAATGAAGTTCATGACGGAGCCAGCGGGGAAGCCCTGAAGAATCACACTCAATGTAACATCTAACAACATAATATCACAGCTACGTATTCAACGTCAAACATCTAATACCAAATGACATTTTTCAACGTGCAATGTCAAACGTTCAGTGTCGAGTATTATCGCTACTCACGCAATATTAAACAAATCAATGTCAAATATTCAATGTCAAATATGGCTATCAAAAAACATTCAATGTCAGATATATAATGGTAAACATTCTATGACCGACATTTACAGACCGACATCATCAACCTTAAATATTTATATAAATATATATTAAATATTATCAGGGGTTAATAACGACAATTAATGACAATTAACTGTCATTATTAACCCCTGATATTATATATATATATTTAATATCAGTTATATAATGTTAAGCATTCAACACAAACATTTCATGACACGAAAGTCAAACGTGTAATGTGAACATTTTACGTCAAACGTTTTATGTTTAACGTTTAATCTAACATCAAAACGTTAAAAATGTTTAATGCATTAGCCATGCTTGCCTTCCTCTTGCCATCGTCCATCACCCGGACACCGGTGTCTCCGTTCTGCCCCGACAACACGAAGAAGACCTTCGATTCGGTGGCGTTTGTCTTCTTGGCGCCCGTCTGCACGCTGAAGAGGAAGTTGTGTCTGTCCGTGGGAAGGTTGTCCGCAAGAGGTGAGGCTCCCCACTACACACACCAACAACAACGTTAGCATCAATACCAACAACAACAACAACAACAACAACAACAGTAATAATCCCCCGCCAACACAGATCCCCACTACACACACACAACAACAACGTTAGCATCAATACCAACAACAACAACAACAACAACAGCAACAACAACAACAACAACAACAAAAACAGTAATAATACTACTAATAATAATAATATTATTATTATTAGTAGTAGTAGTAGTTGCAACTGCAGTTGGAAAACCTACAGCGCCACCTATTGCTTCTACACCCTCCTGCACCGCCACCTGCAGTTGGTACGCCTACAGCGCCACCTACATCTTCTACAGTCCCTCCTACAGGTGCCACCTGTAAGTGGAATGCCTACCTTGACCAGGTCCTTCTTGTCTTGGACGCGAGCCCAGATTAAGCTGATCAACCAGACGCCGATCCAGGTGATGATGAAGGAGAACACAGCCGCGTTGCTACTCAGGTCCTTGAACTTGGAGAAGACCGTCGAGAAGTCGATCGTGTTGACAGGAACGTAGAAGTCGGCGCCGAACGACGTCAGATGGTTGCACAGACACTCGGTCTTCCACACGGTTGTTCTCGCTCCCACCTGTCGTAGCATAGAAGTATACAAGCGTATCAGAGTCAGAGACACACGTACACACAGACACAGACACATATATACACACACACACACACATATGCACGCACACACACACACACACATATGCACGCACACACACACACACACATATGCACGCACACACACACACACACATATGCACGCACACACACACACACACACTCGGTCTCCCACATACACGATAAACGGATGATTTCATTACCGACGCTTTTCATTATCTCGTTAAATGAATAAGGATACTTAATGAAAATAATACACAAATAAAACTAACTTAATTAAATAATAAACGCAGCTA